ACAAATTTTTTGAACGGAACATCGTATGAACCTCGTGTTATCCTATTACATTGAATCTCAATGTCATGGTAACCAAGGTGTTATAAGTTATAACATTATACAAAATTATTGTATACCTCAAAAATTTCCAAATTATTTTAATTTAGCTAAAAGTTTGACATATTAATTTTCAAATGTATGTAGTAAAATTATCATTAGCAAATGTTATATGCTTTATCATTATTTTAACTTTTATGTTCAATCTTTTATTTTGTTCGATTTTTGAAAAATGTTGCTGTAAAGAAAAATTACAAATTCGTTTCAAAAAAATAATTTAATCCCGTGCATAGCACGGGTCAAAATACTAGTAATCATTTTTATAAGTATGTTAGTTGTCATTTTTTAAGTAACTACAAATTTAAGATATTCAGTAATGTTGTAGATATAGAAGCGAAGTCCCTTTGAATTAAAAGAGAAAAAGGAAAAGAAAAAAATGCAGCATTATAACCAAACTCCAAACTCTCAAGTTCTAACGACTACAACACGACAGTATCAATTATCTCAATCTAAAATAATGATTAAAGCAAAAACTGTCATCCAATAGCCAAACAAACTTGCAATAAAGGACAATCTGGTCAAAATTTGAGTAAAGATTTTGGTACCAAGGTGTAACAAACAGCAATTGTATTTACATCCTCCAACTTCATCACCAATTTAGCCAAACTTAAGGCTCTTCGAAGCAAACCAAATCAGAATTAAACTACAAATAGAAGTTGCACAACCAAACAGAATTAAACTTTTACAATTAGACCTTGTCGGTAAAATACCAAGCTTTTTTTGTCACATGTTCAATATGTAATTATATATAGTAGACCAAAAAAAGTTGGGTTCCATGAAGACCGCAAATGATATTTGACAGCTAAACCCCAACACTAATAAAGATCTGTATTCATAGTTTGTAAAATCATATGATTGGGTTTGAAAAAGAGTAAATGAGAAAATGAGTAATTTTTCCGCCAAATGTCATTGATATTGAACTGCCAAGAGATATTATGCCTACTTTTACAACACAAACATTTCAGCCTTGAGTTAGAATTAGAGAAATAATTTTTTCAAGAAAACAAACTTCAATTTCTTCATAAAACATGTAATATACTCCCTCCGTCCCGGAGTATTCGTCCAGTTTTGATTTTTGGAACTATTCATCTAAGCACTTTGACTCATCAAATTCTCTCAATGTGTAAGCCTAAATATAGTCATGGGTGATCTTGTTTGATTTGTCTTAACATATAGATTATTAATATATAATTGCTATAATTTTTTAATATACAAATTACAAGATAAAATGGATTAAAAGAGTGTATTGGATGGTGTGTAAAATGAAAGTGGACAAATACTCTGGGATGGAGGTAGTATGAGAGTAAATTCATTTAAAAGCTAGAATTCACTTTTGAAAATAAAAATACACACGTAATTACCACTAATCAAGTGTATCTTCTTCTCTTTTTTATTAGCACTTTGGTAAATGTAATTAACAAAGAATCTCATGTAGACCAAATTTTTTAAGGCAACTCATTTTGAATTATACTTCTTCTATTATGAACTTGAGGTTTTAGAGTTTTGGAGCATTTTCTTGGAATATCAAATCTAGGTTAATAAATTTGCTAATAAATTTGCACAGGGGAAGGTGTTTCATCATTCAGTCACTAAAGCATAGAAGCCTCTACCAAATCAATTATTCAATCAATAAGCGAATTAAATTCACCAACCTTAATTCTTTGTATAGCCAATATGCTCCGACCTCTCAATGGAACAACCTTGCTGTGCAAAAAAAATGGGAGTGAAAAATAATGAATATGTTGTTGAAGGAATGTGCATTATTTTCCAATATAACATTTAAGTTTAGCGTTGTAAAAAATAATTTGACTTTGCCTTCTTATGAGAAGAGTGGTCACCTAATTAATAGGGAGGACTTGTTAGTAGCTTGTTCTTTGAGTAAAAAGAGAGAAGTGACTAAAACTAAGAAGTAAAATGATGATAACTTTCAACTCCTAATGATATTACATAACAACAGTGTACAGTTTTGGAAGCAAAACTACATTTTTAGCTACACATAGCAATAACAGTCTATGAACAAAAAAAGCTATAAATATAAAATCTTAACAAATTTATCTAGATAGGTTGTAAAACGGGAGAGAATAAGGTAACAAAGATATTGAAAAATGGGAAAAACAATGAAGAATGTAAATTTTGTGATGATAGATCGTACCTTCCAAATTCTCATCTTCCGTATCGTAAGTATGGCATGATTTTTGAGTTCATTTTGCGGTTCCATCCTATACTTTTGAAGGTAAACAACACTTGGTGTTAGGTTCAGCCCAGTTAAGAAGTAGAAAACAAAGGAAAATAATTTAATCAGAATAGACTACAATGCATGAGACAAAGGATTACATCATTGATTCAAAGTTTAAGGATTCTATGACCATACACACATTTCATATTTACCATAGCTAGAAAGAAAAAAATGAAATGAAATTGAATTATGAAATTGAAATGAAAAAAATGCACAAAGAAAGAAAAAGATGCATGAAAAATACCCGCAATTTTTTCCAGCCACCCTCATGCTTTTTTGGCTGGTATCATTGTGGGTTTTAACTTATTTAATAACCAATAAGCATGAAATTGATGATGGTTTTATATCTTTAAAACTTTGCCAAAGACGCGAGCGTTTACCTCCCTTTGCTGCCTGCTGCTACCCTTGGGTATTTAAACCAGAAAAGATGTCTTGAATATTAAAAGTGAGCGAAAAAGCTGCCAAATACTGCATATGTGCTCCTAAAATAGCACGAAAAACCAATTCCTCTCAATTTCCAAATGCAAACTCAATAAAATCAACACTCTCAATTTCATAGCTTCAAGAGTTTGATTCTAATTTCTTGAAGGAAGTAAATCTTTTATAACAAACTTATCGAGAGCCCCTTTTTGAAAAATGTATAAGCTTTCTAATTTAAATCAAAGCGTCGAAGAATAAAATAATAAACTTAAGAAAGAACCTGGAACTTAGATATGTGAAACCATATGCAGCCGCCTCCCTGTCTTCTTGTCTGTTGCATGTATCCACAAATAATTCACACTCAACAATCTGATTTGTACAATAAATCTAAGTTTATGAGATTCATCAAACCCTGTAAAGTTCATGAATTAGACTTGATTAGAAAGAATCACTCCGTATTCTCAAAAGAGTGATTCAAATGCTTGAAAAGTACCACGGGAAACGTCCAAGGTGGAGCACAAAAAAGGAATACTGGCGTGTAAGACGATGAGGATTTGGTAGGAAGACGACGCTCCACCCGGCTTACTTTCTGATATGGAAACATCGCCATCGGAAAAATCTTCTTATAACGAATTAGACAAAGAAACATTGTCGTTTTAAAAATAGACCTTGTGTAATTGTAAAATTAGCAAAACGACAATTTGAAAAGTGAGACGTTTTGACCAATATCTACACTAATGGTAGACCACTAATAGCCACACTGACAATGAAGAGGTAAATTCATGCATATGATTTCAATTTCAGATTTTGTATTCCCCTTTTTGTTGATGAAAAAACACCATTATTTGGTGTTACCCTTAGTGGACATTTAAGAGAGAATTGATNAGAAAGGAAGCTTAACTTGACAAAACCCACCACGCCACAGATAGCTACACACGAAGATGTAAAGGATGAACCTGTGGTGAGATTGAGCTCAAAGTGTAACCATGATGTGGTTTTCGAACTCATTTCTCAAACAACGGCATTCCTAAATGAATTTACAGATTAATTCATCAAAAATAGGGCACAATCATGTGTAGCATATTCCTCAAGCATGAGAAAGAAATTCTTAGAACATTGAACTCGTAAGTAAAAAAGTGTGAACCATGAGTCATTATTCTGGTCAATTAATTAGTCATTATTCTGGTATGATGAACATGCTAGGGAAATATGAAAAACTTACACTATTGATTGCACTTTCTTGGATTATTTGTGCATATTTCGATCCTCCATGAAGCTGAGAAATGAATGTCGTACTTTAGTGTCATGTTTGGGTACAAAGATTTTTCTCACAGAGTTGAGAAAAAGCAGGAGAAAGAAGATGTTGAAAATCTCACAGAGTACATTGTGACCTTTTTTTAGTGTAGTACATTGTGACCTTTGACCTTCAATGAAGCTGAGAACGCAATCTCATACTTGAGTATCATGTTTGGGTACAGAACTCCTTAGTGTTGACCCCTTTCGCTGCTCCATTTGGTTTGTCAGGCAATTCATCGAACGATTGAAGTGCACCAATCTTTTTAAAATTTAATCTAGATACTTGCCTACTTATCTTAACATTTGGATTCAACTTTGATTTTTCTGAGGGCTATGAACTCAGAGACAAATTTCTTTGATAATCTAATGCCAACTGAAACTGGAGAAAAATGAAAAACAATCTTAGGGTTGATAAATAATTAATCAAACAAATCTACAACTCACGAATTCACATATTCCAAAAATATAACTATTAATTGTGTAAAACACTCAAAAAAATAGGCACATTTAAAAGTGTTGGTGTTAATCCATTCCTAAGAAAATATAAAATGTAATCAACGGACATGGGCATCAAATAATTCAAAAATAATCATAGGATGATGTGAATTCAACCTCTAATTAAGGGCTAAACAATAATTCAGAGAATCAATATGGAGTGCAACATTAGAATTTTACCATTTTGGCAATAGAAAGAGGGTATTGACTTGCGGCAGTTGTGGTTGAGCAAAGGTCATCGTCTCCACTGGGATGCTCCATAGAGTAATAGAGAATACCTGGATTGAGTTTCAGCAGCAACTTCCGTGTGGGTCAAACGGAACAATCCATGTGATTCCAGGCTTGCTTGCTGAAGGTGTTATGATCGGCGCCGTTCCATTTCCCGACCTGCTCCAACATCAGGTCCACGAAATATCAGTCCATATCCGGAGTCCACACTGTTCTCAGCCGTTCAATCTCGACCCCACCTCGATTCGCCATCCCCAAATCAATCCGCTCATATTTCATTTACGCATCGTCGTTCTATCTAAACGGAAAAGGAGATTTCGAATACTCCGTTTGATTGTGCAATCCCTCAAGTTGAAGAAGAAAAGCCAATCCCTCTTACATTAAAGTACACGTATGATCCTACATGGAATGACAGGTGTCAACACCACATGTAAAAACCCTACTTTATATATATATATATATATATATATATGATATATGATATGATTATCCAATGACACCAAAGTTGGATGAACCCACTACAATTATGTCTAATATCGTCCTGAGCCCACTTGGCTTAAGCCCACATTGTACTGGACTGGTATATTGGACCAGTTAAGCCCATCAGTAGTATTAAGTTAAACGGAGGAACTCTTAGTTAGCTCTAGATGCCTAGATGGACCTGCTTCCATTTCCGCACAGCTGAATCTGATGACGTCAGATCGACCCGGTTCCGCTTCAAAGCCGGCGAGCAAGCTCCGATGGGGAGAGCTGGAGGACGACGCGGATGATCTGGATTTCCTCCTCCCTCCGAAGCAGGTATTTGGCCCAGATGAGAACGGAATTAAGAAAATCGTTGAGTACAAGTTCGACGAGGACGGGAATAAGGTGAAGGTCACCACCACGACCCGAGTACGGAAGCTCGCCAAGGCTCGCCTCAGTAAACGGGCGATCGAGCGCCGGTCATGGCCCAAGTTCGGCGATGCCGTGCGTGAGGACGTCGGAAGCAATCTCACCATGGTCTCCACAGAAGAGATTTTGATCGAGAGGCACAGAGCCCCTGGTAATCTTTCGTTTTATTTTTTATTTTTTATAACTTCATTTCCCAGATACGTGCTTTTGTGTGGATTTGTTTTCAAGCTTGTGTTTTGTAGAGTTTTATTGTTGCTTATGATTGAATTTGACTAACCTAGAGATCAATTTGATAATCATAATTTACATATAGCAATTCTAGAAAAAGAATCCGAACCCCCGATTTTGATAAAAGACTTATTTGTTTACCAATTTCACCATCAGGACTTCAAACTTAGTTTAATATGAACTGATATATAAATGCTTATACTACCATCAAGATTCAGTTTTTTTAGAGCTTGTCTGTAATTTTTGTTATGCCAAGGCTATAGTTTCCTTTAGTCATGGTCCCGTGTAGCGTGTACCAATAATTTCTTTCAGTTTACTCATGCATTTTCGCTCTTCCAGTCAGTTCTTCTTGGATTTTTAGCTGCCGCTTGGTTAATCTTGCTGTTAAACTGTGAGGTTGCACATAATGACCAGTATTAGTGTATGCTCCCTTCAGTTCGTAATAAGTGTGACTTTAAAGAAATCACAGCTTTGCAGTAAGAACCCCTTCCTATTAATAGTAACATATACTTCCTCCTCCTCACTCTCCTTTTTTAGATGTATTGATTTTTAATGAAATATCAGTGTGGCTTTTCAAGGAAAGGTTTTTTTTGGCTTGGATGGTTTCTAAATACTCCACAAGACCACAACCACACTATTTCATTTTCTTAACAAGTGTGTCAAGTCAAGGGATGTGACACTAGAAGTAGATGATGTAGCAGTGATGCTCTTATAAGTTTTGTATTCTTTCATGGAAGTGAAATGACGTAAATGGTAGATAAGTCATTTGGATATTCATAAATGATGAAGATAGTTTTGTAAATAATCTAGTCAAAATGGAGAAACAAAAAATTGGCTAAAAAATAAATAGGTAAGACTTACTTTTTTATACTTATAAGCAACTTATAAGTCAGCTTATAAGCACATAGGTATACGTCATCAACTGACTTATAAGTTAAAAATAATTTATAAGCACTTTTAATCAGCTTATACGCACATAGAAACACCACTTAGTGTATGTGATTGAATTAGTAAATTGACAATTTTCTTAATAAATGAGTTCATCAAAATTTGCAAAGAAGGAAAATCTTGAATAGCAGAAGTAAGAACCCGGAAATTCTTTGTAGTAATTTCTCAAATTTATAGGTTGGTGTTGACTAAGTAGTTTTGTTTGTTATCTAGAGTGTTTTAATTTAACTTGATATAATTACACATTTGTGGACTACAATTGCTATTTGGTACTCCCTCTATAGATCTTCTTAGAAACTATTCATAGGGTCAAACTAAATTCACTTTGTTACTTATTTTTAGTACTCATTTCATAAAATAATACGGAGTATAGTTTTGTCACCTCTAGTTTTGTAGAATTTTTCATGTACTTTTTTACTACGTAAATTTTATTATTAAATTTTACCCCTACAACCAAATAAATTAAATCGAAAATAAAGTCGGTTAAGCCTCGTAACATGTAATGAGAAGATCTTTCAATTTACTCATGCATTTTCGCTCTTCCAGTCAGTCTGGATTTTTTTAGCTGCCGCTGCTAATCTTGCTGTTAAACTATGAGTTTGCACAAAATTAGTATTGATGTATGCTCCCTTCCTTTCCATCATCTCCGATGGAGCCAAAATTTCACCATTTTTTGGCTTTGGGGTGTGATGGAATAAATCAAAATGGATCTCTAAACTGTCTGCGCTTCTTTAATTAATGAAGTAGCAGTTAGTCAAGCAATGCAACTTTCGACGTTGAGCCGGGGGTCTCTTTGGAAACAGCCTCTCTACTTTCGGGTAGGGGTAAGGTCTGCGTACACACACCCTCCCCAGACCCTACTCTTGTGGGATTTAACTGGGTTGTTGTTGTTGTTGTTGATGTATGCTCCCTTCAGTTCGTAATAAGTGTGACTTCAAAAAAATCCTAACTTTGCAGTAATAACCACTTCCTACAAACACAAACATATACTTCCCCCTCCTCATTCTCCTTTTTTAGATGTACTGATTTTTAACTAAATATTAGTCTGGCTTTTTATGGAAAGGTTTGTGGCTTGCATGGTTTCTAAATACTCCACAAGGTCACATCCTCGCTATTTCATTTTCTTAACAAGCATGTCAAGGTCGGGAAAAATTTTAGTGGTGGATGGAGTAATTATAAACTATCAATAATAAGCCTATAAGTTATGCATTTGGTCTTAAAAAAGGGGTGAAAATATTCCAGAGTACCATAGTAGACACTATAATGGTATGAAACAACACATAACATGAAAAAAAAGTTCCTCCAACGCAATATAACACTTATTAAGAACCCTTGTGAGTGCTCCCAATTACAGAGTATTAGTATTATGTATTGTTAGTATTAGTTTATGTTTCCTGCATTCATTGAAATAGCATTTGTTTTCATTCCTTACATGCATATAACTTTTTATAGTAGGAAAGATTGAGATGTGTGGTGTTACTTCCCTCTTTCACTCTAGAATGAGTTGCATGCATGTATATGGACTTGGATTGTATGATAGCATCTTGATTTTAACTAACAAATGGGGTCATATCCCACTGAATCTAACAACAACAGGCTCCAAAGCAGCAGAAGAGGCAAAGGCAGCGGATGCATTGGCTGCCCTCAACAAACCAGGTGCTGTCCTCATGGTTTGCCGTGCTTGTGGCAAGAAAGGCGATCACTGGACATCAAAGTGCCCCTACAAGGATCTAGTTCCCCAAACAGACACCTTTCTTGAAAAGCCACCAACCTCCGATGCTTCTGGCGTAGGACCCGGTCCCACCAAAGGAACTTATGTCCCACCGGGCTTGAGAGAGGGGGCAAATAGAGCTGCTGGATCAGATATGAGGCGCAGGAATGACGAAAACTCGGTCCGTGTGACCAACCTCTCGGAAGACACAAGGGAACCCGACTTGATGGAGCTTTTCAGGCCATTCGGTGCGGTGACAAGAGTTTATGTTGCCATTGACCAGAAGACAGGCATGAGCAGGGGGTTTGGGTTTGTCAATTTTGTCAACAAAGAAGATGCGCAGAGGGCTATCAACAAACTCAATGGCTATGGGTATGATAATCTCATTCTCCACGTTGAGTGGGCCACCCCTAGAGCAAACTAGGGGCCTTTATCACTTGTACTTCCGCGTTGGATTTATGCTCAGTTATTATTGTAAGATGCTTTGATGATCTTTAGCACTACATTCTGGAGTGAAGGCTGAAGCTATTTTTATGAATCTCTGTGGAGTTTCAAGTACTCTTTAATTCACATAATGAAGACATAATGACTCTCCTAATGTAATACTCTATGTTTTATTTGTCATGTAGTATCACTGGTAATTGTTCAAGTAAATATGCAACGCCACTCGATATTGTTCAAACTAAATGTCAACCATTACTAGACATTGTTTTGTCACTAGACATTATTTAAGTATTATTTAATGAATAAAAAAGTTTAAATACTACATTGAAAAATTACATATATTTTAGCCAAAGCCTTCTCAAACTATGGAGTACTCCGTATTATTCATGGGTTTCAACCAAACTATGGAGTATTATTCATGGGTTTCAGCCAAAGCCTAATTTGAACTTGAATTTCTATCATTCAGGGGCGAACCCACATGACAAATAAAAATAAGATTATTTTTGAAAGACGAAGTAAAGTTAGAATGATTTTAGATAATTTTTTCTTATTTATTCTATAACACACATAAATTTTTACTTATATAGTCTTACCTAAAATGTGTAAAATACACCTCATATATCTTTTATTGCGTGTAAAAGTTATTTTAGGTATATTTTAGATATTTCAGGCATGGAAGAAATTTTTTGTGAGAGGTATAGGAAAGGAAGATGAAATTATTTTTTAAAACAGAGGAAGTACCAAAATGCATTTCACCATTTTAATGTTTCAATCTATATAATTATTTTATTAGTATTTGAAAACGATGATTATGTGTTTGTTTTTTTTAAAACAAAGCTTTACACGAAGTATAATTTTTTTATACGACTTACCATTAAAATTAAATTTTGAAACCTACTTTCGTCTCCTTTTTATTTCTTTGAAAAAGTCTACCTAGTATGAAACCATATTCGAAAGGCCTTCATCACTTCAATATGGAAACTATATCATATACGATCCATATTTCTCTGGATACTTGAAAATCGTAGTGTTAATTCTAAATTCAGCTCAACATAGTGCTTATTTTAAAATAACGTAGTGCTTATTCTTAAACATAACACTCATTCTGAAATATAGTGTTAATTCAAAATGACGTAATATTCATTATGAATCATTTTTTTTATTTCAGACTTATCATGATATATGGAAAGAAAGGTACATCTATTTGGTACCATATATGGAGTAATTTGCAATTGGAAAGAGGTCTGGGTTAACAGATGGACTTTCAAATTGGGCTTTAAGGCCTCTCGTAAATGCTAATTGTTGTATAACGAAGAGCCTCGTTTGATTGGACTCGGAGCCTTCTTCTCAAACCCAAAGAGTTCGGCCGTCGGAGATGAGCCAGAAATTCGGCGGAGGAAAGAGGCCGACGGGAACTCCGTCGCTTGCCTGGTCGTGCGTGGTTGTCGTTGCCTCGTTGCTCACCGGCGCCTCCGTCGTTCACAACTTCTTCAAACCCGATTTGGTACCTTCTCTCTTCCACAAACTCCTCCACTTCTCCGCGAGATTTCTTTGGCTAAAACAGTACCCTTCTTCACTTGTAATAATTGTGAAAATGGATCCACTCTTCTGCATTGTGTTATCTTACATCCATTAGGTGATTTTGAAAGCGTTAGTTCTACTGCAAGTACAATATTTTGCCTGATTGGACCCGCATCCCAGCTGTTTGATAAAATGCCTCTTCCAAAATTTGCACATCTGATTAAATTTTAGTGGTTTTGTTCGTTGGCTGCTAGGATTTTCTTGCTTAACTTCAATTACATTGCACATGTGCTTGAGGAAAAATCCATTTTTTTTAGTTTCTCTCATGTTGACTATAGCATTTCGTATTGGGGTGTTACCGGATTGGACTTACGGTTCAACTGCGCATTTATGTATTGAGCAATGAGATATGCTAAATTGCAGACTCTACCGCCTGTAGAACGGACTGATATGCCTAAGCAGGAACAAGTGAAGAAATGATCATTTCCACCCCACTGTATGTCCCAGTTTAACGCTTGGAGTTGCTGGACACTCAACTTTAATGCTTAAATAATGGAGTCTTGGAGATCAAGTTGAGTTTTCTCTACATTTTATCCACCACTTCCTGTGTATGCCGTCGAGGTTTGCATGTAACTGCAGGTAGTTATTGATCTATAAGGTTGCTTGGCATTGATTACAATTCTGCTTCTTTTTAAGAACTAGAATCAGAACCCAATTTTTTAGATTTATTAAAACATGGTTCTTTTTTGAGTGCCTGATATTGCCTCTGCTATCTAATACCGAAATGATTACTAGACATTTATTTCTTGTGTGCCTGTAGGCCCTGTATGAGTGCAGAAAATGATTGAATCAGAAACAAAAACTTCACAAATTTGCCTTTTTTGAATTTTAAATTAAAATATCTTTTATTATTTGAGTGCATCTTATTTCTAGGAAAATGTTAAAAAGGCAAGTTTGTGAATTTTGTGAGCGGTTTGTTTGTGGCTCTAGCAACCCAATATAATCGCGCTTTGTGTTTAGTCACTTTTGTTCCAAGGTGTCTCGGGTTCTTTTTATTAGGGCATGCTTGTCATGAGTCATTAGGCTCTGTTTGGTACACGAAATTCAAGTCATGGAATTGGATTTAGAGACTCCAATTCCAATTCTGCAATTTGGTAACACAAAAATATGTGAATTTGGAATTGGTAGTGCAAAAAATGAATTGAAATGGGAGAATTCTATTCTATAGAATTCCAATTTCAATTAAATTCCAATTTTGCCAATTCTGTGTACCAAACGGAGGAGGATACTTATGGTTTTTACTTGAAGAAGGCGAAGAAGGCACACCTTGACATGATTACTTCAAATGGCACTTATACAACATTGTGTGTTTAAATTGTATTTCAATATTAGAGCTTTTAACTTCATACGTAGCGAATGCAAGTCTTTGTAGGATTGATTTTTGGAACTTCCTCCTAGGTTACCTTTTGAGGCTAAATGGTTGTCAAATGTCATTCAGTTGTATGCTTCTTATATGCCATATCCTAATTAGAAATCATCCTAAATAGGACTAAAACATAGAGAAAAGTACCAAAATAGGACTTTTATGTTTTTTTTTCCGGAATAGGACTTTGCACTGTGTTAATGTGACTTTGCATTGTGGTAATGTGGCAGTGTACATGTGCAAATTACTAAACTTTTTTGGTAATGTATATGATCATGTTTGGTAATGTAAGTCCTATTTCGGGAATAAAAACATGGAAGTCCTATTTTGGTATATTTTCGATGTTTTAGTCCTAGTTTGGTTTTTCTCCCTAAATTGATACTCAGTAGTACTAAATAGTTGAGCTACTCAATGGATCAAGGTAAAGATAGGAGGGGAAGCACACATTTTTCTTTTGCCTCACTGTAAAGTTAACCAAACCTAGTGCTAACTGAATTACAGGCTTCTAGCTCAGACATGCCTTTCTTTAAAAGCAAAAGTGCAAAACAAAGTCCCAACTTTGAATTTCGTTACTCTTTTATATTTCTAAGGAATTGATGATCGAAATAAAATATTGGGACACCTCAACCATTGGATCGAAACAAAATTGCTACTAATTGCTAGGCTGTGGAAAGCTAATTTTTAAGTTGTAAAGGCCTCTAATCCACTTTTGAATAAAAGCCGATAATCTATCTCATCGTGATTATAGCATACTAATTCCCAAATGCTAAAGTCATAAAAACAAAGTCACTAATGACCCCACCCATTTCATCTTTTCAATTTAACAAAGTAAAATGAAAAAAAAAAAACATAAAAACCTTAAAGAACCGATCGAAGATCAATAAACATGACTGGCGAAGGGAATTTACTCAAGGTTAATTTCTCTTTTACATTTGTGCGTGGGGGATGTGTCATTCAAACTAGATGGTTTGCCACTCACCCAATGTTGGTTCATAAAGTTAAGGTCCATATTAGAAACATGGACCATCTCCCATGGTAAGAAATATTTTTTCTGTCCCAGTGTATTTTTTTCAATTTGACTCAAAAAATCAAATTAGATGAGTTTTAATCAACAATTACCTTAATTTGTATTGGATATTCATGCAATGAAATAAAATTCTATATTGTGAATAAAGTACTAAAAAAATATATTGAATTATAATACTCGTATGATTTTAATATTGATATGTTTCTTTTGAAATAGAATTTAAAATTATCATATTTTTATAATATATGTCTGCATAAAAATAGAAATAATAATAATCAAAGTATTGTATTAAATAGCGTAAAGAGTCAAATAAGGAGAAATATGACAGAGGGAATAACAGATTTTGCATTTTTATACTCCCGCTGTCCTGAAATGATTTACACAATTTACCATTCAAAAATCACGAAAACTTTTGCTTATTTGTTTGCTTTCTTTTTCTATTTGATGAACTTTTGTAGAACTTTTGATATACTTTTTAAATATGTAAGTTTTATTTGTTATTTATATATACCGATCATTATATAAAATGAATTGAAAAACTTTGAATTCTACTCAATTTTGTGTAAAGAGTAAATGAGTTAGTAACGAAGGACATATTTACAAATCACAAATTCAAAATACAAGTTTAATAACAGCCGAGTTTGATTTCTGTCAATTTAGCGTTAACTACATAAAGCATAAGCAGATTTCTGCAAGTACCTGGTGCAAACTTCATTTTTTAATAATCAATATTTGATTAAAACTCAAATATCTAGTAATTGTTGGATTGGTTCTGAAGGGATCTTCTTCTTTACATTGTTTTGTTCAAGAAATTCTAAAGAAAAAGAAAAAAAACTATTTATCATTTTCTTCATCAAAAGGAGAGAAATTTAGTTTTTTTCTTTTCTTATTATCTTTAACTTCTCATTTTCTTTTTCATTCTTCTCTAACTAAACAAAAAAAAATATTTTCACCCTCATTTTCTTTTGGTTTTTTCTCCCAAATTTCATGAACCAAATCATAGTCTTAGTTTAGAATACAAGCTAACGACTTTTCAGCTTTTTAACAAACGTGAGGGCCACTGTTGAGTCCCGGACGTGTAAAGTGGAAAAGAAACTACATGGCCGGCCGGCCGGCCGATGATGGCTTCCACGAAGTGTGTCTAATTAATCACGTCCGTAAATCACGGGTAGCTATCTACCCGCCCTTTTCATCCAACACCTCACGTTCCTCCACCGCACCTTTCTTTCTTTCTTTCTTTCTATAACCTCTCCCCACTTTAAACCTTCACAGATCATTCATTCATCAACACCCATTACTAATTCAGAGAGGCCAGGCTTGAAGCAGATCGAATTGCAGAGCTCTGGTCCCATTTCTACTCTCTCTTTCTCTTCTCTTTTCTTTCTGGTCTCGACCAAGGAGGTGAAAGATGGCAGAGACAGAGGCCGCCGATATTCAACCACTCGTCTGTGACAATGGAACCGGAATGGTCAAGGTATTCTGATCTTCTTTCTCTCCATCTCATTATATTCCTCTTCTTCTTCTTCTTCTTCTTCTTCTTCAATGATGGATATATATATGGTTCAATCTATGTATACATATATAGGCTGGGTTTGCTGGAGATGATGCCCCAAGAGCAGTGTTCCCCAGCATCGTGGGCCGTCCGCGCCACACGGGAGTGATGGTGGGGATGGGCCAAAAGGACGCATACGTGGGAGATGAAGCGCAGTCGAAGCGGGGCATTCTCACCCTCAAGTACCCAATAGAGCACGGGATAGTGAGCAACTGGGACGACATGGAGAAGATTTGGCACCACACCTTCTACAACGAGCTCCGTGTCGCTCCCGAGGAGCACCCCGTCCTCCTCACCGAAGCCCCTCTCAACCCCAAGGCTAACCGGGAGAAGATGACCCAAATCATGTTTGAGAGCTTCAACTCCCCCGCTATGTATGTTGCCATTCAGGCTGTTCTCTCCCTCTACGCTAGTGGCCGTACCACCGGTAACTTTCTTAGAATCATCAATTTTTATACTTCTTCCCTCTTGCAAAACATTTTCTGTTTTGACTTTTGAAAAGAGATACTATAGAAGTTAGACGAATGTATGATAGAATTTAGGATGGGTATGGACAATTGGATTGGGCAATAAGACACTTGGGTTGAACCACATTAAAAGATTGAATCCAATCGATTACTTAGTTCAACTCAAGACCTTATATACCGATAACTTTTCTATTCAACTTCCGATGTGGGATACAATTAACTCTAACACTCCCCCTCAAGTGGACAACCGGGCCATTTTGAATCTAACCGGTTGACCACTTGTAAATGAACTCCCAATCCCTTGACTTTTTTTTTTGAGCGCTAACACCTAAAGACCACGAGTCGCTGGGTATGAACTTCCAGACGAGCAATCGTGTTAAACAGGCCACAGGCCGTTGGGTACACACTCCATACGGACAACTGGGCTAAAGACAAACGGGCCGCTAGGAATAAATGTCTAGACGGACACCTTGACAAACGAGGTGGGCTAAAACTGGCTCCGATACCATGATAGAATTTAGGATGGGTATGGACAATTGGATTGGGCAATAAGACACTTGGGTTGAACCACATTAAAAGATTGAATCCAATCGATTACTTAGTTCAACGCAAGACCTTATATACCGATAACTTTTCTATTCAACTTCCGATGTGGGATACAATTAACTCTAACAACGTAAAACGAAGACAAATGAAACGAGTAAGACTCGTGAAATGTCAAAATGGATAGGACATAGAAATTAGATTTAAGAAAAGTAAAGGCAATTGTATCCATTTAGTCCAAATTGAAATGTTTTATGAGACAATGTAAAAGTTGAAAAGTTTTACGGACGGCAGAAAGTACCAAATTAACTATTTCGTACATGTTTTATGCCGGATATATTCACCCCTTGACAGGCATTGTTTTGGATTCTGGGGATGGCGTGAGTCACACCGTCCCCATATACGAAGGCTACGCCCTTCCCCACGCCATCCTGCGTCTGGATCTGGCAGGGCGCGACCTGACAGATCATTTGATGAAAATCCTGACGGAGCGCGGGTACACTTTCACCACCACGGCGGAGCGGGAAATCGTGAGGGACATGAAAGAGAAGCTGGCCTACATAGCCCTCGACTACGAGCAGGAGTTGGAGACCTCCAAAACAAGCTCTGCCATGGAAAAGAGCTACGAGCTGCCCGACGGGCAGGTCATCACCGTGGGGGCGGAGCGTTTCCGGTGCCCGGAGGTCCTCTTCCAGCCGTCCATCGTGGGGATGGAGGCTGCCGGGATTCACGAAACCACTTACAACTCTATAATGAAATGCGACGTGGATATCAGGAAGGACCTCTACGGAAACATTGTGCTCAGCGGCGGCTCCACCATGTTCCCCGGGATCGCGGATAGGATGAGCAAGGAGATCACGGCATTGGCCCCAAGTAGCATGAAGATCAAGGTGGTGGCGCCACCCGAGAGGAAATACAGCGTCTGGATCGGAGGGTCTATATTGGCCTCCCTCAGCACTTTCCAGCAGGTATTTGTTTGTCAAAGCCATATACGCAGCATTCTTTGAAGTTTTCCATATCTTTTAGTTATAACTCTGTTTTAATTTGGGCAGATGTGGATTTCCAAGGCAGAGTATGATGAGTCAGGCCCCTCCATTGTCCACAGAAAGTGCTTCTAAGAAGAAATGCTTGGGGAACAAACTTGGGGTACACCACATGTACACACACAGACACTTATTGTTTGTGCGCGCACAGACATTAAGTGTTTGTGTGTGCCTATTTTAGACTTGGTGTACATGTGGTGTCCCCCTAGCTTCTAATTTTTATAAGGACACTGTTCATGAATGCAGCAGAGTGCCATCTTATATTTTTTTTCCAACAATTCTACCTTTGTTTTCTGCCATTGTGGTTCACATGCTATTATTTCATGAGAGAGCTTTAGAAGGGCAAAGAGAGTTTATTTCTGGTTTTGAGTGTTCCAATTCTTTTATTATTTTTTCTTCTTATAAATCTACGATTGTTCAAGTGTTATATGTTTCTTCCCATGTCTCATTCGTGTAATGATCTATTTCTGTTGTATACGAAGTTTCAAGTGTTATTCAGCAAGTTTCAATCAATTCAACTTTTGGTATGTAGATGGGATGGCAATATTTTTATGTCCTTCCAATAACCGCAGGAAATGACCAAAATCTTCACATTGCCTATGAGCAAATAGATAACTTCAATGAATCTCGAACTTAATGAGAGAGAAAACAAAATTACGAATCTGAAAACAACAACAACAATAACAACACCCTAAGTTACATATCAATCCACCCCCCTTGAATTCAATTCACCTCGTCCTCAAGGTGAAGGTCGGGGTCTTCGTTAGTGCCAACAATCATCATCAGCTGCGGTTTAAGACATTTGTGGCCCAGTTTTTAGGTCTCATACATCACAGTAGTAACACAACTCTTTAGCATGACGATCCCGGATTTCTGCACTTGTGGCCCAGTTTTTAGGTCTCATACATCACAGTAGTAACTCAATTTCTCTTCCACGAGACGTGCCATCCGAATAGCATCAGACAATAAGCGAATCTCGTCCTTGAGTCCACTCACGAAACATATAGCACTGCTATTTAGAGTATTTTAAAGCTCTAAGAGTGCTATTTTAATTTTTATCCCATTAATTTTTTACACACTTTTTTTTGGGACCGTTTCCAAATTTCTTTCTCATTTCTTATTTTGACAATTTTTTTTAATGAATGTGTCATTATATCCACTTTTTTTTATTGAATGTTCCATTATACCCTCAAAAAAATTTCACTTTAGGCTAATTCTTTTGTGGTACTCAGGTCAATATTTATTTTATGGACATTAGTATATAAGTATCATGCATCAATTGGGCTTTTGGAAAAAAAATAAATATAACATCCCATGTCAGTCTATAAAAAGTGTGAGAAGATCCTCATTTCACATTTAGACTTAGGATCATAAAAGCACAACTCTTCACTTTATTACATAACATCAAAAGCCAAATATGGAAAATTTTTTAATTTTTTAATTTTTTTTAAAATCCTTGTACCAAGTCACTATGGAAAATAAATTGTTAGAGGAAGGAAGTAAGGTCATTTTCTCTTCACTTATTCTTATTATTTATTATTATTATTTTTCATTAGAATCCGTTCAATTCAGATCAGACAGAAAAACTTTAAATATAACTGCATTCAAATCATATCAGATTAGATTAGATCAGAATCTATTCCAATAAGACCAAAACCATTCAATTTAAGTGAATAGAACATGCCTAAGCTCATGCTATCTTCATTCTATCTGAATGGTTTTGTTCTCGATTGAAATAAATTATAATCTGATTTAATCTTGTATGATTTGATTCGAATAAAAATAATACTCCCTCCGTCCCGGAAAACATTGGAGTTTTGATTTTGAAGAGAGATTTAAGGGAGTGTATTTTGGTATTGAATTTTCAAAAATGTCCTTGATGTGATGGGTAAAAGTATGATTTGATGGATAGATTATTAGTAAAAAGGTATGATGTGATAGGTTGGGTGTGAAAAAGTAAAGAGTAAAAGCGACTTTTTAATAGAAATAAGAAGTGTTTTTTGGGACGGATGAAAAAAGAAAATAGAAAGGTTTTTAGGGACGGAGGGAGTAATAACTAATAAGAATAAGTCAAAAAAGAAACTAATAAAAATAGAGAAATTTACCTAAATAGGACTAAAACATAATGACTTTCCCAATATAAGACCATATTTTTTTATTTCTCAATGTAGGACCTTTGGTCATTATCAAGTAGTCATTATTCAACTAAATGTTCATGATTACAGGACATCATTTTTTTCCACTAGGTCATTATTAAATCCTATTTAGGAAATAAAAAAGTTTAAATTCTACATTAAAAAAATCATTACGTTTTTGTTCTATTTAGTGCAAATTTTACATAAAAATAAGACAAAGACATTCTACCGCTTATCTTCCCACAACCGCGCGCGCCTCTGCTGTCTTCTTTGGGATATCATATCGTCAGCTTTCAGATCTCGCCGCGCCGTAGCGTAAGAAGAAGATGGAACAGACAGAAGACATTCGACCGCTTATCTTTGATAATGGAAGTGGATTTACCAAGGTATTGGTCTAAATTTTATTTATAGATTGTGTTTTCATATATTTTTGAGTAAATTTTTTTTAATGGAGAGTAAATTAATGTTTTTCTTATATAGCATTGATGAAATTTCTCCTGAAACTTGTGCTCCAGTTTCACGATTCAATTAGGCATATTTGATGAAAAATGCTATTCGTGCACCATTTTTAATCCCAGATTTGACACATCTTTCTTACAAATATCCGATACAGTTTTATGTCTGTAAGAACTAGGGTAAATTTCAAATGGTATATGAACTTTAGCTGGAATTTTGAAGTGATACCTAAACTTCAAATCCTTTCACAAAAAAGTTGAGGGATTTTTGTGAAAGGATTTGAAGTTTAGGTACCACTTCGGAATTCCAGATAAAGTTCAGGTACCATTGGTGAAATTTACCCGTAAGAAATATAATCCAAATGTGGTATAGTCCAAGCATGGTTCTTCAATTTACAGGTTGGGTTTGCTGGAGAAGATGCTCCGAGAACTCTGTTCCCCAGCATTGTGGGCCGTCCCCGTCACCGCGGTGTAGGGATGGACCACATAGATGCATTGGTTGGAAATGAAGCACTCCAAAAGCGTGGCATCCTGAGCATGAAATTTCCACTCGAGCCTGATGGCATAGTGAGCAATTGGGAAGATATGGAGAAGATTTGGCATCACTCCTTTCATGAAGAGCTCCGGGTTCCTCCCGAGGAGCACCCCGTACTCCTCACTCAACCCCCTTTTAACACGAAGGCAAATCGGGAGAAGATGACCCAAATAATGTTTGAGACTTTCAAGATCCCAGCTATGTATGTTGCCATTCCGGCTGTTCTTTCCCTCTATGCTAGTGGCCTTACCACCGGTAATTCTTATGCCAAAATTAGGGTTTTGGGGTTTCTTGAACCAATTATTTTAGATATATGTTGGAAATATTCATCACCAACCTCTTCACAGGCATTGTTTTGGATTCGGGTAGTAGTGTTACTCGCAGTGTCCCCATCTATGAGGGTCATGCCCTTCCACACCCCATCTCGCGTCTTGATTTGGGAGGGCGCGACGTGGATGAGTATTTGATACGGATGGTAAGGGAGAAGAATTTCACTGCTACGCTGTGGCGGGACCCCATGACGTGCATGAAAGAAGAACTCGGCTACGTGGCTCTTGACTACGAGCACGAGTTGGAGACCAGCCCTGATGAGGAAAAGAGCTATGAGCTGCCCGACGGGAAGCTCCTCACCATAGGCAGGGGGTGTTTCCTATGTCCGGAGGTCCTTTTTCAGCCCTCGCTTCTCGGCATGGAGGCGGCGGGAATTCACGAAATCACGTACAACTCTATCATGAAATGCGACGCTGATCTTAGGAATGAACTTTTTGGGAACATAGTGCTTGGTGGTGGTTCTACTATGTTCCCCGGTATGGCGGAGAGGATGAGAAAGGAGATTACGGCATTGGCCCCAAGTTGCACGGAGATCAAGATGGTGGCGCCACCCGAGAGGAAATACAGTGCCTGGATCGGAGGGTCTATATTGGCCTCCCTCAGCACTTTCAAGCAGGTTTGCCCTAGCTCAACCAATGCTCCCATACCCTCACTTGAACTACTCTTGAAGGGCATCTTTGTCATTTAATTATCATAGCTCCCATAGCTCAACCAATGCTCCCATATAATCTCACAAAATTTCCAATTTTGCTAATCACTTGTATATCATTTAATTATTGTTGGGCAGATGTGCATTTCCAAGGCAGAGTATCATGAGTTCGGATCCTCCATTGTGCACAGAAAGTGCTTCTAAACCCATGTGACGGAGATGCATGTGCATGGTTGCATTTCCAAACCCATTTCAAATAAATTGCGGTAAAGTTAACTATAGACACGTATGGCATTATTCAACACATTCATTTTTTTTTTGTTTTTCAGGTTTTACAAAAAGATACGGAGTAATAGATATTGCTTGATAATGTCTCCATATTAATTGTGAGGTCTTTGAACACACACTTTGCTGTTTCTTTTTCGATGCGCGCGGGAGAAGCCCTCCCAACATGGATCCATAATAAATATCTCAGCGAAAACAATATGTGGATCGGAGCTGTCAAATAAAGAGGTTATGAATGGTTTATGGGTCAAAGACAAGTTGTGCAATGCTCTAGCATTTTATGGAATAAAATGTACACTCCCAAGCATAAGTTCATTTTGTGGCTTACATGTAGAGATCCGTTGCAGACCAAGAAGAGAGTTAGCAAATTCTTCACAATTGATACCTCCTGCCAAATCTGTCAAGGGGAAGAAGAATTAAATTCCAAATTACCACTACATTTCTTAATTCTAGAGAAATGATTATGCACTAGTTGTTGATTTCTGTTTGTTTTATCTCGTTTTTTGTATTTGTAATTAACGGTTTGGGTGGAATAAATATATTTGCTTTCGTTTTAAAAAATCACTTAAACTTGGACTTCAATTTCTCTTCTTTTCTTTTAAATATAATTCTTTGAACCAAACATAATGTAAAAGTCAAAACCAGAAAGATTTTGTGGGATTGCGGGGTATATGTTAAAAAAACCTTACTCCGTATTTTTTTGTCCAGAAATATTAAAAAAATAAAAACTTTTTGAATAAAAATTGAAAATGTTTAATTTGTCAAATGAAATATAGGTTAAATTTTTATTTCATATTTTATTTAAAATACAAATATTTTTTATTTTTAAAACTTTTTTAAAAATAGAGTTTTGAAAAATATCTTTTCATTATTTCAAACACATATTTTCTTCTCTTTATGAAAAAAGAAAATAAAAAATAAAAACAATAAAAAAGGAGAGGGGGCGTTAGTGTCCATTTCCAAAACCATAGAGCATTGCGGAGTTATTCACCCAATATTTAAAAGATATATTTGTCCAGAGGGTCAGCAATATCAGATCATGGCGACAACAACATAAATTTTGAAACCATGAGAGGTAATATGCACATTTACCAAACTACAAGGGATATCGATGCAATAAATTCAAATTATAAATGTGTAATTGAAAGTAATGGAGAAACTAAAGAAATAATGAATAATTAAGCATCCTAAAACATAAATAACATCAATTTTTTTAAAATAAAAATGGTCTTACATTAAGAAATAAAATATACAGTATTATATTTTAGTTCTATTTAGGTGAATTTCTCATTTTTATTTTGGATTGGAAAAAAACATGATTTTTTTAATGGAGCCACTTAAATTTAATTTAAACTCTACGGTCCTCAGTGAACCAACCCACTCCCCATACTCTAGAAATAAAATAGAGAAATTTACTTTAATAGAACAAAAATATAATGACTTTCACAATATAAGACCGTATGCTTTTATTTTCTAATGTAAGACCATTGGTCATTATTTATTAATCATTGTTCAAGTAAATGTTCATCGTCACCGAATATTACTTCTCCTACTAAACATTATTAAGTTGTATTTAGGGAATAAAAAAAATTAAACTCCTACATTCAAAAATGACTTTAATCCTATTTACTCCAAATTTCACAATAAAAATCCACCCGATTTTTATTGAACACAACGGTCTATGTGATTAGGTTTCGATTGAATTGAGTTGTTTGAGATTAAAAACACTGGACATACTCCGTATATTACATTGACAGGTAGTTTATATACAGTAATTAAAACCTCGATCTCCGATCCGATCATGTTCAAAAATGGCTTGATCATCGATCTCATCCTTTTGATTTGTTCTCTCCGCAATCGAACAGATTCCGATTGGAAAAGTATATATAGTTTCCATTTGGGAGTATATAACTATAATTAATTAATTCTAGTATTTGGTTTTCTTTTGGGTTACAAGCTATAACCCATATTTTAATGTGATCAAATCTGTATTTGGTTTTCGAAGAAGGTAATATAAGAAGATGGATATGCAACCGCTTATCTTTGATAATGGAAGTGGAACGACCAAGGTATATATAGTATTGCTTTAAATTTTTATTTGCAGATTATAATATTAATTGATGGAATTCTTGTGAAACTTGGACTTCAATTTCACAATTTAATCAGATCATATTCAGGTCATGTTGGTTGGTTTGTTGGTTCAGTTCATATTTATATATATATATATAGGTGGGATTTGGTGGCGAGGATGTTCCAAGAGCTGTGTTCCCCAGTATCGTGGGCCATCCTCGGCACACTGGTGCGATGGTAGGGATGAGCGCAAATGACAGATATATCGGAGAAGAAGCACAACTGAAGCGAGGCATTTTGAGCATGAAATATCCGATAGAGAATGGCATAATGAACAACTGGGAAGATATGGAGAAGATATGGCATTACTCCTTTTATGAACAACTTCTTGTTTCTCCTCAGGACCACCCTCTCCTCCTCACCGAAGCCCCTCTTAACCATAAGGCTAATAGGGAGATGATGACCCAAATCATGTTTGAAACTTTCCACGTTCCAGCTATGTATACTGTCATTCCAGCTGTTCTTTCACTCTTTGCGAGTGGTCGTACCACTGGTAAGGGTTTTTATCCCCAATTTAATTCTTGAATTGCATGTCACTAAAATGGTGTAATAATAATATTTGATATGTATTTGATAGAATTTAGGATGGGGAAGTGATAACTGGAATAGGCAATAAGACATTTGAGCTGATGAACTACATTAAAAGATTGAATCTAATCGATTAGTTACTTCAACTCAAGAGCTTATATATCGATTATTTTAATCTTAAATTACCGATGTGGAATGACACTCTAACACTGTTGGAAATATATTCACCCCTTGTCATGATAGGCATTGTTTTAGAGTCTGGGCATGGTGTTACTTACCCCGTCCCCATCTATGAGGGTTATGCCCTTCCCCACGCCATCATGTGTCTCGAGCTAGGTGGGGCTGACCTAAGTGACGCAATCGTCAATCTGATATGGAAGGTCAACTACACCTGGCTCAATTGCCATTGCCTCAGAGAGGGGAGTACCATAGTGGACATGAAAGAAAAGCTCGGCTATGTAGCTCTTGACTACGACCAGGAGTTAGACACCTCCAAAGCAAACTCTACCATGGAAAAGAGTAGTACTTATGAGCTGCCCGACGGGCAGCTCATCACCATTGGCACCGAATGTTTCCGTTGCACGGAGGTCCTTTTTCAGCCCTCGTTTGTAGGATTGGAGGCTTCCGGAATCCACGAAATCACGTACAACTCTATCATGAAATGCGACGTTGATCTTAGGAATGAACTTTTTGGGAACATAGTGCTTGGTGGTGGTTCTACTATGTTCCCGGGTATGGCGGAGAGGATGAGTAAGGAGATCACAGCATTGGCCCCAAGTAGCATGAAGATCAAAGTGGTGGCGCCACCTGAGAGGAAATACAGTGCCTGGATTGGAGGGTCCATATTGGCCTCGCTCAGCACTTTTCAGCAGGTTTGCAATATATCTACCTTCTCTCAAAGTACTCCCACTAATGCTCTCATATCCCATCCCATAAGTTTTACCCAACTACATATACTCTAATGTTCCTAACTTCTTTACTCCTCCTATCTAAGTCTATATTCTCCATAAAGGAGTATTATTATTATTATTATTATTATTGTTTTGAACAGATGTGGATTTCACGGGCAGAGTATGATGACTGGGGCCCGTCCATTGTGCACAGAAAGTGCATCTGATTTTCTATGGACGTACGACAGTGTTCACGAGTGCAGAGTGCATGCCAATGTACACTTTTTTCTACAATTCTACCTTTTTTTTTATTATTATTATTGTCAAGTTGTTCGATCAAATGATAATTGTTTTATGAGAAGGGCAAAGAGTTTAGTTCGTATCTGATCTTTTTTCTGTCGTGTAGAAACTTCCAAGTGTTACTCAGACAAGTTTGAATGAACTTTTGGCATGAAGATGAGTTGGGATTATGTTACGCCGCCCACGGGGAATGAGGACCAAGGAGTCATCCAACAAAACGAGCCGTCCGAGGACAACAATCCGCCCAGGTGAAGGGAATTGCGCCGAGGCACAAGAAATAGGGAACATCCCACGTGGCACAAGGATTATTCAAGTTATTATTTTAATTACTGTAATGTAGATTTTTATTAGACATGATTATTCAAGTTATTATTTTAATTATTGTAACGTAGATTTTTATTATTATTACTATTATTATTATTATTACTATTATTATTATTACTATTATTATTACTATTATTATTATTATTAGCATAATTATTATTACCCGGAGTATTTTTATTATTAGGTATTCCTTCCGCCTCAAAAAGAAAGTTACGTTTCATTTTTTATGCATCCCATAAAACACTTCTATATTGTCTCAAATGCTAAAAAAACTTCCAAAATGGCTGCTACCCACAATAAAGGATGAATATGGTAAATTTTAAGAATTTTAGGTGTAGATATTAAAATTTTTGGGATACGCCGTAATAGGGAGGATACAAGAGAGATGGTTGAAGAAAAATTGCAGATCTCAGATTTGAGTATCATTAAATCTGTGTTTGGTTTTTGAGTAATTATAATGGTTTTTGAGTATCATTGGCTTTCCATTTGTATCAGCTGATCAAATCTGTATTTGTTTTTGTTTTAAAGAAGTTACGTAACAAAAAATATAGAAATGGCCAAGGAGGTTCAAACGCTCGTCTTTCACAATGGAAGTCGATTTACCACGGTATTCATTTTTATTTTTGAGTAGATTAATCTTTAATGTTGTTTTCACCATATATACTTGAATAGAATTCCATGAAAACCCTAATTAATTAAACTTGGACTTCAATTTCACAATCCAATTTTTTTCTCAATACCTACATTGCACCCCTTGCGTTTCATTGACGTTCATATACAGGTAGGATTCGCTGGAGAATCTGATCCGACCGTTGTGTTCCCCAGCATTGTGGGCCGTACGCGTCACACGGGAGTGATGATGGGGATGGGCGCAAAAGATGCATATGTTGGAGACGAAGCACAGGCAAAGCGTGGCATTGTGCGCCTGAAATACCCTATAGGGAATGGCATAGTGAATGACTGGGATGATATGGAGAAAATATGGCATCACTCCTTTTACGAAGAGCTTCGCGTTGACCCCGAAGAACACCGTGTTCTCCTCACTGAATCCCCTTTAAACCCCATACCTAATAGGGCCAAGACGGCCCAAACTATGTTTGAGACTTTCAACGTGCCAGCAATGTACATCGCGAGTCACGCTCTTCTTTCACTCTACGCTAATGGCCTTACCACCGGTAAGAATAAGAATTGGTCATCACTCAAGACAATACATTACTATGTGTTTGACTGTTTGATGATAGGACCATGCTACAAACCCACCACCGATGCCCCCACGAATGACAATACAGATGATTTTATACCTACATAGATGATTATCGTCTGTGCAGGTGTAAAATCATCTGTATTTTCATTCGTGGAGGCATGAGTGGTGGGTTTGTAGCATGGTCCTTGATAATGTGTTTGATTTGTCCCCCCTCCGACCCATTGATAGGCGTTGTCGTAGATTCGGGTCACGGTGTCACCCTCAGTGTCCCCATTTGGGACAGTTGTGTGCTTACGCACGCCATCCTGCGCCTTGATTTGGCGGGAAAGGAGATAGAGGAGAACTTTGCGCGCATCCTATACGACCACTCTTTTATGTATGGGAATCCACATTGGGCGGCAATCCTAAAGGACTTGAAAGAGACGATGACCTATGTGGCTCTTGACTATGGGCGGGAGTTGGAGGCTTGTAAAACGAGCCCAAGGGTTGAAAAGAACTATGAGTTGCCCGATGGGAGCCTCATCACCTTAGGCTCAGAGCGGTTTCGGTGCCCGGAGGTCCTTTTCCAGCCTTCGCTGGCCGGTGTGGTGGATGCCGCAGGGGTTCACAAAACGGCGTACAACTCTATAATGAAATGCCACGTTGATATGAGGAACGACCTCTGTGGGAACATCGTGCTTAGCGGTGGCTCCACCATGTTCCCGGGGATTGCCGATCGGATGGGCAAGGAAATTGCGGCATTGGCTCCTGGTGGCGTGAAGATCAACGTGGCGGCGCCGCCGAATAGGAAGTACAGTTCCTGGATTGGTGGGTCTGTGTTGGCATCCATCAACTCTTTCCAGCAGGTTTGCCCTCATATGCCCTCCCCATTAATGCTTGGAAAAGGTTTGGGGAACCCTGTTTTTGACACCCCCATTGACAATGACTGTCTGTGAAGAAGTAGCATCTTTGGTGTCAAAACAAATTTGGGATTCTCCAAACATTGTCCTTAATGTCAAGGTTTCAGGATACTTTACACTTTTATAATTGCTTTTATTTTTGAATGAATAATCTGAGCAGGAGTGGATTACAAAGGCAGAGTATGACGAGTACGGGCCCTCAACCGTGGTCAGAACCGCAGATTGCTACTCTATATAACTTTGTTTTCTTCATTTGTTTGTTATTCGCTTGCGATCATTTTATGAGACTTTTAGATGGGCATGACTTGATTTTTCATTTGAATAATCCAAATCTTTTTCATCTTGGTTCCCATGTTATTGAGATTCAATGTCATGAGATAGAGGTTTATCAATGATTTATTCAAAAACCTGATGTTTCCTATACCCTAACCCCCAGTAAACCTCCACCCCCGGTAAACCCCCTACCCCAAGCTTGGCCCGAACATTCCCCCGGGCCCCCGTCAATTGCAAGCCAAAAGATTTCGTTTCAACTAAATATTGTACTCCCTCTGTCCTAAAACTTTCTTCCCAGAGCACTATTACAACTTCACGGAAATTTATATTTATTTGTGTTTTTTCATGGCCTATATGATAAAATAAAATATTCTTTTCACCACTTGTTTTGTTGAACTTTTGATGTAGTTTTTAAATATGTATGTTTTATTTTTAATTTCTATACCAATATTTAAATAAAATAGATTGACAAAACTTGAGATTTTTCTTCATTTTGTACAACGAGAAGAAAGATATAGGACAGAGGGAGTAGCATGCAATTGACATGATGACATGGAGGGTTCATGTCCCCATCTTTTTTTGGTACTTTTATCAACTTATTATTACATCGAGAGCTTTAAATTCTTTGTTCATATTGTATTATGGTCTATTTGGTATACAGAATTGATAAACTAAAATTCTATGGAATTCAATTTCATAAAATTGAATTCATCCATTCTAATTCATCTTTTGCACTATCAATTCTAAAATTATATAATTTGTGTTCTACCAAACACCTGAATTGAAATTAAAGTTCTCAATTCCGATTTCATACTTTGAACTTAGTATAGCAAACACGACTTAAGAATATTTCTTTCAAGTTTTATGTTAATGTCCTCAATGAAGTTTGATCATTAAATAGTACTCCATCCACCTCAAAGAGAGTTGCTTGTTATTGTTTGAGAGGTTTGATTGAATTTGTTTTTAATTTAATTTATTTAACATAGTATTTTCCATCATCTCCGATGGAGCCAAAATTTCACCATTTTTTGGCTTTGGGGTGTGATGGAATAAATCAAAATGGATCTCTAAACTGTCTGCGCTTCTTTAATTAATGAAGTAGCAGTTAGTCAAGCAATGAAACTTTCGACGTTGAGCCGGGGGTCTCTTTGGAAACAGCCTCTCTACTTTCGAGTAGGGGTAAGGTCTGCGTACACACACCTTCCCCAGACCCTACTCTTGTGGGATTTAACTGAGTTGTTGTTGTTGTTATTGTATTTAACATAGTAAGGAATTAAAAATAAAATTTATACATTTAAAAACTACATCAAACATTCTCAAAACAAGAAGTGATAGACATATTTTATTTTTTCAAATAGATCGCAAAAATAGTTAAGAATGTGGTTCAAGTTTGACCTTTTGAATAGTAAACAAAAAACTTAAATTTGGACGGAGGGAATACTCTGTATTACAGACCGTTTCAAAAAAAATAGTACTCTCTCCGTCCCTTTCGAATCTTCCTATTTGATTTTTCACGATTTTCAATGCAAGCTCTAAAATAGAAGATGATGATCTTTAAGGTCAATAAAGAAACAAAATTTAAAGGCAGCCAGTCGCCATGGACAAAATGATGTTTGCTCCTAGTAAGCTTAATAAAGGAAATTGAACTCAATGAAATAACAATAATCTTCATGAATATAGATAGCATAGTTAGGCAAACAAGCATACCCCCAACACGAAATTTAGTTGCCCGCTTGAACACCATGACCTCTCTGTTTCTTCCACTTCCCATAGAGAACCACAAAATGGTAGTATAGTATAAGAAGAAGTTCCTCAACTTCTTTGTTTCTTTTTCGCGTGGGACGCGGTTTTCTTGAAGTCCCCAAAGTCAGCCGCGGTGTCGGCGGTGTTCTGCTTTTTTGTGCCTTTTCTCCCTCCAAATCCATATTTGGAATCCCTATACTCTCTGCTCTTCTTTTTCTTGTCAAACCCTTTCTCTCCACCACCACCGCCGCCGCCTTGTTTTGCTTTCCCTCCAGAACGATCTCCAGGAGCCACCCCAGGCCTCTTCTTACTTGACCTCTCAAATGAATTCCCATCTTCAAAGGCAAAACTAGGGGCACCATCTCGGCCATCAGTGGCAAAACCACTCTGCTGCCGCTGCTTCCTCCACTTCTTCACAGACTCTATGTCCTCTTTCTTCTGCTTAGCCCTCTCCTTCAGCTTCTCAGCTTGTATCTCTTTCGCCAGCTTCTTGTTCTCCCTTGCCTTCCTTCTTTCCTCTGCTTCCTCAATCCTCTTCTTCTCAGCCAAGAGTCGCCCCTTGATTTTCTCCATATGCACATCGGTTTTCACCATTTCGGCATAATAGTCTGAGGGTCTCAGAAAAGGCAGACCCATTGACTGAAACTTTGTGAATGCCTGTCTTGCCCCTTCCAGCGCCTGGGTGAAGAAGGCAAGCTCTCGAGTCAGGTCATCATTCACATCCACTTCTTGCTCCTGAACAATATCAAAGGAAAGCTTGTGTATCCAGTCCACATCTTTAGGCCAACTGATGTCTCCCATTTTGTCGAGCAACCCTTCTTTGTTGTATACAGCAGTCTTTGAAGGCTCAGATAGTTTTAAAACTTCGTCTTCTTCGGATCCTGATTCAGATTCAGAAACCACAGGATCATCATCCTCCATCTCCATGCCATTCATTGGCTCGTCATTCTTCATGTTTAAAACTGCACAACAGGCAAGTCTGAAAAAAAGAATAAGACCAAAAGAGACGTGATGGTCAACATAGAAAACAAGAGTACCGAAACAAATGGAACTCGACCACAATTTCATGGTCGTGACTAATAAGAGAGGAGAAAGCGATAAACAGCAACTCAAGTTTGTATTATTTTTTGTACATAGCTTCTCTTTCACTAGCTAGAGAAATGGAGCAATCCCATTTTCAACATTATCTGCTAAACCCAACACATATTCTCTATATCTTTGCCAATCTTAAAGACATATCACATAGAAATTTGCTCAGCTTTTCTTCTGTGTTTCCTGAACCAGCCAAAATTACAGGCTAGCCAAAGTGAAGCAAGCTCTGAAGCTATATGGGCAAAAGACTCAACCAAGCACGAGCTAGAAATATTCAATTCCTGGTTCAAGCTTTTCTAAAGATGGATTCCAAGATCTAAACGTTTGATTCAAAAGAACTAAATAATCAAGCTAATCTAAAGCATTTTTGAACATTTATAGAGATTTGATTTTAAAAATCTTTATAGAAATTCTTGAGCATTAATTTATATTCATTAGGTTATTGATTTAGATTTTTTTATTCTTTTAGTTAAATTTTAAGATAGTGGTTAATGTCTTTTATAAATTTTTTTCTTCTTATTTAAGTTTCTCAATATCTTTGCTTTAGGCTCTAACATATGTCACTAAAAACAGTGATATAGGTTTATTGTGGAATGAAGTTGCATTTCTAACAGAAATAATTTGCCGCAAAATAGCAAACTGTGTGAAACAGAAAATATTTAAATTCAATTCCTAAACCCAACCAGAAGACATTTTCAGATGTAGTCAATTTCCAAAACAACCAAATACTTACAACACATAAGCAAATTTATCCATAATGCAACTCAAAGTTTATTTAAAGAAGAGAGTACTCGTAGACTTTTTGTCCAATTTGAGGAATCGTGCATGCTTTTCAGCGGAATCCTCACACCGCCATTTAACAAATGTAGCCAGAAATAATGTGCTGTTAAAAAATGAAATTTCTAGAGAAGTGCATAATCAAATTTTGTGGAAAGTAAAGTTTACAGTTGAATAATGACGTGTGAATGATATAATGGTATGTTTGGGAACATGGATTTGGATTTCAAATCCAGATTTGGCTTAAATTCCATGTTTGGGAAACTTAAGCATTTTGAATTTGGATTTGAATCAAATTCTTTACATTCAAAACAAAGCTTAATTTGAAATCCATGCACCTCCCCTTGTCATTTGAAATTCAAAAGTTCAAATTTTGGAATTGAAATGCATCAATTGAAATGAAATGCTAGTTGCCAAACACTACCTAAGCTATTTTCCCTTTCTACCCCAAATAGCAAGATGGGGGTTGGGAGCTATAGAATGGGTAAAACAATTGTGTATCAGAAGAAAAAAAAACCCTGCAACATCTACTCTTACAATTGCTTACAATTTGGCAATCACAAGCATTCGTAAAAATAAAATAAAAAAGTCACCTCACCTATCATCATACCTAAGGATGCAAAGTATTAAACCAGTTTTTAATGCTCCAAATGCGATAAACATCTAGAGAACTAGTCGTAACTCAATGGTGTTTCTCACATGTTGTTCAAATTTAGCTTCTTGTTAGCAAAACTTTCACGCCTTAATCACATCAAATCAGAAGGGGTAATTGCCACTAGAATTATTTCATAGAAGCATGCATACTCAAACATAAAAGACAAATTAAAAAACTATTTCGCCTGTGAGAATACAAAAAAACTCAACCATGCATACTCAAACATAAAAGACAAATTATTTCTTAGAAGCATGCATACTCAAACAAACTAATTTCGCCTGTGAGAATAAAAAACACAGATTTAAAAGATTACTAGATTATACGAATTTAAATTTTATAAATTAATTACTGTACAGAGTATTAAAATGCTAATAATGCTTAATATCTTTACTAGGTTTGCATCAAGGTTTGAAAATGCGAAAATTAGCCTAGAGGCAGTGGAGCAAAATGCCTCGAGGTGGAACGAGGCATAAGCTTCATCTTAACATGAAAAAAACAAAAAAAAATTATTTAACCACACTAAAACACATTGTCACACATAGAGAAATATGTAATGATGTAAATTCTTAACCAAACTTAGGGGTGTAAATGGATAATATCCGTTTCGAATGTATTAAAACCGTATCCGAATCCGATTAGCAAAACCCGAATCCGAATCTGTATCTGACGGATGTCTACGATATTAAATCCGAATCCGGCGGATACGCGATGAAGCATCCGACTAGTAAAAAAATCTGAATCTAAATCCGTTTCTAGATTCGATAAAACATCTGATTCGCAAGGAAAAACCGAATCCTTATCCGAAAAATCAAATGACAGTTCGAGTACAACAACAGTGGCGATTTCATAGTGGCGCTGATTCTAAAATCAAATGAACAATTCGAGTACAACAACAGTGGCGATTTATTTTTCTTAGAGGCGATTTCATAGTGGCGATTTTCAGAGAGGCGTTGATTCTAAAATAAAAGGAAAAAATAAAAGCATAATTGAGAGTTTGTACCTAAAATCAAACAAGAGAGTAGATGATGATGCTAAGGATTGAGGTGCTGAGCTGAAGCCGCAGACTCGCTGAAATGGTCGCTGGATTCGGAAAATAGCTGAGGAAGACGCCGCTAGGTCAGTTGGTCACTCTGTCGCTGGATGCTGCTTCCCAAAAAAAAACGTGCTCCGGATTAGGTACTGTATGCATTTAGGTTTAATCAATTACTCAAGTCTCAATAGTGATTTTGGGCCATTTAGGCTTAGTGGGCTGAGAAGAAATTAGAAAACTAGGAGGATACATAAAAATACGGAGTTTTTTTTACCATTATACCGAGAAATTGATACGGAGTATAATTTTGGCTGGTAATTGAATAAAATTTATACTCCGTAATAGATATTTATATAAAAATAATAAAATTAAATTTATCAAATAAAGTATTTTCAAAAGATACCTAATTGATGCTGAGTACTTTATCTATTTTCATTGTTCGTTTAATAAAATAATACAAAGTCACCTCTTATTTTGTACTTCCTTCGTCCCACTTATATCTTTCAGTACATTATTCATAGAGTTAAACTTTATATACCTTGTTTTCTTATTTTCGTTACTAATTTGATAAAATAAAATAATTATGTCACATCTATTTTGTAAATCTTTTGATTCTTAATTTTACACATACAATCAAATAAATTAAATTAAAAAATAAAATTGATCAAGCATCGTAACACGAACTGAAAAGGTTCAAATGGAACATAGAGAGTAGAACTTTTGATGCAATTTTAAAATATTTAAATTTATTTTTTACGGAGTAGTTTTTTGTAGACTTTCTCACATCAAAAAAAAATTTAAAAAAAATGCTCATGTAATAAGCATTTACTAATCACCTTCATCTCTGGATTCACATAAAAATATGTGAACTTAAAAATCCTCTATAGCATTTATCAATTATCAAAGAGATGTACTTCGGTGATCATAAAATTCACATGTAAAATGAAAATTCTTGATTTTTTTTCAAAAAGCCCTATGTACCCATGAAATTTATAAATACTAAAATCCATAAAATAAAAGTGGACCTTAAAACCATAGAAGAATTTGATATTTTCAAAATACTTATGGGAAGGTTGTTTAAATTCACCCGTGCAAATAGCCAACATTGGATAGACTATCACTGCTTTTAGGGCAGGGTTTGGGGAAGGGAATGGGTAGATTTACGGAAGCAGTTACTCAATAGGGGTAGGGTAGTAATTTCCTCCCTCATTTCGTAACTCAATCCCCGCGAACTAAGTACGCAGTTTGTACACCCAGACTAAGGCATGAATTGTTGCGATTCACAGTGCCTTGTTGTCCCTTGGGAAGAAGAAAAATTTTAACGCGCAAAAACACCTGAAAGTCCAGTGCATTTGATCAAATTATCAAACAATATTGTACAACTAAAATTAACAAAGAAAACGACTTGTTCTGAACTGATTCACAATATTGTACACAGAAAGCAACTCGAATCTCCATTGCAGACCGGTTGGTTGCTGTCAGATGTATAATCCTCTCTGAAACTATGAAAGCCAAAAGGGTCAGCTTTAAAAAACAAAAGGACTTCAAGTGTTGATTTTCCAATGGCCGCTTCTATAACCCAGAGACATGATTGCCAACTCCCATAACATGTTTGGGATGCTCATAAGGTTTACCTTTGACCCGGGAATTTCAGTCCAATTCACAGATACCTCGACTATCGGTACACCCAACCGTTTGCAGATATAGACTATCTCAACATCAAAGCACCACCTACACAAGGTTCACATTTGAAAAAAAGAAGGAACAAATCTTAGGCATGAAGGGGGGAGGGTGGGGAGTTAGGAACAAATCTTAGCTCATCAGGGGAGTTAGGACTTAACCGAAATTGGAGCATCGTTAAAAATATAATACTCCATTAGTCATTTTCAAAGAAAAGATGTGGAACCACCATATTTGACTTCTCGGGTCCACATCCGTTTTTTAGCATAGGTTGATGGATAGAGATACAAAGAAACAAAAGAGTAAATTGCAGAAATAAATTCAAAAAAATTACAAACCTAAAGAAAATAATTAACTACAAGGACGAAGAATATATTTATGTCTAAATCTAAAAATCACATATTAAAGAGCGAACCTTTTCAAACGGATATTTGGAAAAAGTTTCCTGGCTGCTGCTCGGGTAAACATCTTGAACCCACACTGAAATAAGGCAGAAGATATCAAAATGCACCCAAACATGGATAAAAGAGTGCATGAGTCATAAAGGGTCTGCGTAAAACCTCAAAGTGCTCTATGGGAAGAAAATAAGGAGGAAAATAGAGGGAAAAGTTGCAAGAAAAATAAAACTGGTTCAAATCTATTATGGAGTATTATGTCTGTTCAAACTCATTTGATTTACTAATATGTTTCTAATTTACAGAGGCTAAATAATTTATACTTATGTAAAATATTCAAAAACACTAATCATATTTCATTTACTTTTAGTGCAATTTGCACTAAATAGTACTAAAACATATGTCATTTCCCAATGTAGTACTTAAACTTTTTTATTCCCTAAATAGTACTTGAATAATGTCTAGTGGCGGGAACAATGTCCACTACTTGAAGTTTGAACAATGTCTAGTGGCGGTGGACATACTATATTGGGAAAGTCACTATGTTTTAGTACTATTTAAGTAAATTCCCGTTACTTTTATGGCTTGTTTGGGAACTTCGATTTAGATTTCTAATTCAGATTTAACCCAAATGACAAGCTTGGGAATCTAAAAATTTTGAGTTCAGATTTGGGTCAATCACAAATTTATACACTCCCCCTTGTAATTTGAAATCCAAGAATTCAAATATTTGAACTGAAATCCAAGAATTAAATGATTTCCTAGTTTCCAAACATTGACCTACATGTTTCGAGGTAAAACTAAACATAATAAAATAACTTGACATCCCCCCTCCTCCCCAAAATCCCTAGCATTTCCGAGAACCATACCCATAGTGAGAAAGGGGAGTAGCAGAAATGCATGAATCTCTTTGTTGAATATTAAATACCTGGGTATCACGGATTCCAGGTCCAGCAGCCAAGAGAACCACAATATGGAAACCTTTCATCAAGAAATTCCGATACCACTTTCTCTGAAACAAGGCACAAAGGGATTTTGCAAACTTGGAAACAGAGAGAGAAATGAAAATGACAAAGGCAGAAAAGAGCAAGAATGGTACATTTCACAAATGAAAAACTACTACCTCAGCCCCAAAATAAACTTCACAGTTTGAATTTCATGGTGTCCAATACAACACTTTGACTCTTAATATTTATGATTATATAAAGAGTATATACAAACTTAATATATTCTAGAAGAGTAGAAGTATATCTCCAAATGAATCTTCTTTGAGCACAAAAATCAAACCGCGAAGTTTATCTGGGAATGGAGGGTTTTGTGTGTGTGTGTGTGGGGGGGGGGGGCTTAATAAACTCAACCGTTGCAAGAGCCTTCTCCTCAAGATGTGCCCGAGAACCAAATGCAACAACTGAGACGTCTGAAATTCTTAAAGTTGAATCACTAGCAGCAGAAGCTCCAAAACCATGTTTTTTAGCAACTGCAAAAATCTGACTCGCAAATAGTTAGGCACTTAAAGGGTATGCTTGGTTTTCGGAAAATTATTCTGAGGGAGAAAATCCAATAAAAGTCACCTTCTTGTATTTGATTTTACCTCAAAAAAATGAAAAAGGAAGACGACTTGGAATTTGGGGAAAAAAAATCAAACTACATTTATTGAGTTTTTCTTCTCCCATTTTTTCTTTTCTTAAAAAATTCTTCTATAGTTTCCTCTCCATTTTAATTGTATTCCATTTTCGAGTTCCAAACGTACCTGACCCTAATATAGCAATAAATTTTATAAATAGAGTATAAAGCTTCCACATTCGGGTCACAAACATACTTTGTTTCAAATTCGCACTGTGTGATTTATACATACGACTTAACTTGGAGTACATGGTACATGTTGAAGCCACCCAAGAACCATGATCTGGCTATGTTGCAAATGTTTTCACAAATAAGGTCCAATTATCTAGCCCGCCAATATTTATAAAAAAGAAAACAAACACACACATACATACACACAATGTCACCAACCTGATTTTCTAACTTTTCAAGATCTTCTATTTTTGTTGCCCCATCAGCATCAAGCATTAGAAGCAGCTCACCACGTGAGTGTAGCATTCCCTATTTTTTATGCAGAAGCAACTGTGCTTAATAAATTGAACTGATGGATATACAGTTTGCTATATATTTTCATTTTTCAAATCAGAATATGATTATCCAATTAAGCAAAAGGAGAAAATATCCATCAAACTCACTTTTCGTATGGCTTCACCCTTTCCGTGATTCCTTCCCAGCAAAACAACCCTCACATTCTCTACTGTGTGCTTCTTCACAAATTTAAAAGCTTCAGTTTTTGTTCTATCAGCACTTCCATCATCAACTATAATCACCTATTCATCATGTATTATAAATCACATTTTTAAAATAAGCCAATCAAAAGCACATCCCAACCATTGTTAAGCACATTCTCACTTAGACAGGATGAAAATACAGAAACATGCTTGTGTCACTTACCCTTCAACACCAAGTTCACAAAAAAAAATCAAGTAAATGAAAACAGAATATGACACATTTCATTTGTAACTATACCTCATATGTAAATGACCTGTCCTTGGCAGCACGGTGTTGAAGATAACTGAAAATACAATCCAATATTATTATGTTTTTTTTAAATGTTGTAGTGCAAGTTCAATGGTTTAAAGCCATTTCAACTGTCACATTATATATTCTCTTCAAAAAAGCAAACATATTACATACAATAGCATTTCATCAAGAGCAGCAGGAAGCCTATTCTCCTCATTGTACGCAGGAATGATCAATGACATATACTTTTGGGCAGGATCAAAAATACTCGGACAGGGGACCTGCAATATGATTGTTACCTTAACCTCCTAGTGAACAAATGAACATCGAATATATCCAGACAACCAGCAGTATTCATCTCTCTCCACCGTCTACAAATATACTGGTTTTTCAAAGCTACACAGGCATAAACTATCACATAATCCGCTCCTCCAAATCTCCCGAATAGATCCGTAAGAGAGAAGACTTTTGGGTTCGAGCGTTCACTTACAGGCGTCAATGAATTTGGATCTTCGAACGCGGGAGGAGCTTCAACATGACTGCGGCGGAACGGAGAATCAGAAATTGACCGAAGAAGAGAACGCAACAAAAACGAGTAGGAGAAATTAGGGTCGGTGGAATGCGTACTCGCGATTGAACTTTCTTCGGAGTGTTTCGAAAGCGACGGCGAATGATAATCCGACTGCGGCGCACAGTGCGAGGGAGAGAAGCAGCTTGAGCGCAAGCCAGATTGGATCCACCATGCTTCCCTGTCGTTGAGCCTTACACCTGAGGAAAGACCATCGCAGGAGATGTTTATGCGTTGTGCACTTGCACAGTAGCACTGCGGCACCCAGAAATTAACCGAGTGCTTGTATCGGAATGATTATAATCGTATAAAAGGTAACAATGAAAAATTGCCCGTCTAGCTCAGTTGGTAGAGCGCAAGGCTCTTAACCTTGTGGTGCGTTTAATGCGACCTTTTTCTTTTTTGGGTGGCCCAAACCGCCCAAGAGAAGAAACTAATGTGGACAAAGGCTCTTTCGCCCAAATTAATGTGTCTAATTCTAATCAAAATTCTTTAATTCTAATTCTCAATCCTAATTCTAATTCTAGGCAAAAAATGACTCTAATATTTTTTACTCAGAAATTCTGGATTTTAAACAAAAATTTTGTTGACTAAACTCGAAATGACCCGTTAAAAATGGATCAAATTCGATCAAACGTGAGTAAGAACTAAATCAGTAGGAATGCTCTAACTTTTTCATTACTCTGTAAAAAAACAGTATTTGTGAATCTTCACTAGAGAAATCTAGTCACAACTTACTATTTGTAGTAAAACTAGGAGGAAATTAAAGTTGAATTATAGTGATAGAAAGATTGATATTTGATAAATGTGAAAATAATTTTATAATTTATGCATCTGTATGATTTTTTTATTTATTTAGGTCATATCAAAATAAATATACTTCAATAAGATAAGACAAATGTTTAAAACGAGTATGAGTTAATTTGTATTCTGAAATATATGAAGGAACCCATATATTTGGAGGCAAAGTCAGTAAAATAGACATGTATATATATTGTGCAAAACAATATGACTGGTCATGCATGTAACATTTGAACGTTTGGACGTCACGAGAGGTTGCCGCCCCTAAGAGCATCTCCAAGGGCATCATGTATATTTGGTAAGCTAAATCATTATTTAGACTATGAATAGTCTTCTAACTGTGGGTGCACTCCAACCGCATCGTGCATATAGCTATATTTATAATTTTTTTAATGGTTATTGTCTGACAAGAATCCACCCACCAAGCCAAGAATGATTCCGCACCACAAATATGAAAATAACTTTTCTACAGTTGTCTTTCATTTAAGAATGCTGCTACAGTAATTATAAAAGCTGTGTTATTTATTAGAAGCTCCATTGGAGCACCAAAACATGAACAACAACATGTATACATCCTATTTTTTGGCTTATAGCATCTCCATTGGAGCTGCTCTAAGGGCTAAGACCTCATTATCACGGGCCCACTAACCCTACTAAATACGGAGTATTTTGTAATTTCGTTGAATGATTGTTTACAACACATTTCCGAGTTTGGTAACAACGTTTATTCAAATGTGCTTTCAGTGCTAGCAAATTTAATTACATAAAATAGTCGATGATATTAAAATTTCAAACACTTTTCATTTTCTATGTCTTAAACAAAATTAATACTTTTGTTCATTCGTCTTAAAAAAACTTCTAATTCTTTTTTTATAAAAGAAATGAAAAAAGATGAAGTAGTTTTTCTCTAAAATAGTTGTTCACTTTTATTTTTCGACATTTATTTTAAATTTTGTGAACTGAAGGTAAAATAATATTTGTATACTCCCACAAAAAAATGTCTCAAAAAAGTGTGCAAAAAAAAAATACTCGCACACGAAAAGCAAATTACGCGGTGGTTAATTTACTTAGTTACCCTGATTAATGTTATTACACGCGGAGTAATGATTACCAACTAGCGGATATCGTGAGGTGTAAAGTATAAACAAGAAAAATCAGATGGCGGGAGAAGACCGTACTTTCTCACTCGGATTACCTAATACATACCTCCCTTTTTTTCACTTTGATTTTCTTTAATAAAATATAATTTCTCCTAAAAATAGTTTTTTCACTTTTATCGCACAAAATTATCACTCTCTTTCTTCTAAAATATTTATCATATTACGTGAAATGAAATAAAAAAACTGAGTATTTCATTTTTACTCAAAGATTGGTATAAAATTAAAATTTACATAATTTATAAATTACATCAAAAAAAATTTAAAATACGAGGTGATAAGAACATTTTGTTCTATCAAATAAGCGATAACAACATACAAATAAAAAAATTCCTATAATTTGTTAATACGTAGTAATAAATTGTAACATTGCTTTTTAGAAAAGAGGAGTAAAAAATACAAATGGCTTTGAGGGCTAGGTAAAATTAGTAATAAAAAGAATTACAGGTCGGGAGTAATGGAATTACTTTAATACCTAAATTTGTGGCATTCTTTTTAAAATGTCTCTGTAATAAAAACATCTATGACCCCTTAAAAAAACATATGGCCAGATTATCATTCAAAGAAAACGATGGTCTAGAAGAGTTGGTGTGGGTTTTAGGGGTCAGGTTAAGATATACTACGTAGTAATTACTTCAAAATCGAAGAGAGTATCTTACAAAGGATGTACTTCAGGTGAGAATAGACTTTAGTGTGAGAATGGTGCATTTTGGGGTCACTATGATGCATTTTGTATTTGTAGTAGTACATATTCTGGTAGAAAAGTTTGATTTATTTACAAAATTACCACTGTGATTTTTTCATATTTTTTTTAAATTTTTGTTTTTTAGTAACTCTTACTCCGATTCGAGTATATCTTAAATCTAATGAATCGTGTGTATTATCATTTCTTTCAATGTGCATCGTTCCCATTTAACAAACTTCTCTTACAATACCCAAATAAACGCAACATCGTACACTTAGCCACAACCACCACCACGTATGAGTCCCCTTCGAGATGTCTTGAGTTCAAGTCATCACGGAGAAGAGATGTAAGATTTTTCCATTAACGAACCTCTAACCCATTGGATTAGCTCTTTAGTCGGTTCAATTATATTGTGGATGTCTCATTTCCACTGGTAGTGTTGGAGTTTAAATCTATTGAAAACTTGGGGTGAATCTAATGGGTAGGTAACTTAGAACATGATGATGAGTAAATAATTAACTAGCAAAACCAATCAACACGAGTGAATCAATATGTGATAGAATTCTTTTTTTATAGAAGTGCACATGCTACATTGCTACATAGAAACTTGAGAACGAAAGAGTTTAGATTTACCTCTTATAGAATTTTTGGGGTAAGGTCTTAGAAACTTAGGATTAATCTGGCGTAAGTCCAAAACCATAATGTATTAAAAGCATAAAAAAAGAGTAATATTCAAAAATAATCCATTCTAAGCGGTGTTTTCTCAAATTGGTCTTCAATAATTTTTAATTGTATACATGGTACTTTAAATTGAGATTTGTTCTCTAACTAGTCTTCCGTAAAACATGTCACTTAAATGTCGATTAAGTTGAGAATCTTTTGATATTTTTTATCATCTAAACTTAGAAAAAACTATTTTTGTGGATTTACTCTAAGAAAAACTAATTATTATGAACCAACAGTCGGGGAAAAATTGTCAAACAATCCTTTTTGGCTTTTATGGTTTTAGACTTTTTTGCCTTGATGAGTTGGCTGGAAGTAGTGAAATAGCTTTTCGTGAAGACAAACTCTCAGATAAAATGGCAACCTTTTCATTTTATTCTATTTTTTACCAGTGTTCACATCTCTGTTTTCTGATCTGGCTTTCCTTGTTGTTCAATTCTTGGCTGTAACTTTTCTAAAGAATACACATGTACTCCGTATAAAGTTAAACATTTTTCACCCCAACCATTCTAGAAATTAAAACACTTCTTCTTCTTGGATCAAACAAAAGAGATTTGAAAAAAAAAACTGATCAAATTCATGGGGTCTTGCATGAGTACAAGAATTAAAGCAGAGAGCCCTATTCATTCTGGTAAAATGAATTTCTTACGACTATTTTCTTCTTCTTTTAATTTTCTTTTTTTCTACGAGTAGTATTTTATTTTAGGCTGTGTTTGTTTCAGGGGCAAATGTTTTGAGCGGTAAGAATGAGAGCCATATTCCGGAGTCATCAAATCTAAAGGCTTTCAGCTATAATGAACTCCGGCTCGCCACCAGAAACTTCCGGCCCGATAGTATGCTGGGCGAAGGCGGGTTTGGTTCGGTATATAAGGGATGGATCGACAAGAACACTTTCAAGGCAACCAAGCCGGGAACCGGTTTGGTCATTGCTGTCAAACGGCTCAACCAAGAAAGCTCCCAAGGCCACAAAGAATGGCTCGTAAGTTCGAATCTCACCGTTACTCGATTTTTTTTATAAAATATTTTGTAATGTAAGATGTACTCCGTATATAACATCTTCGGCTGCCTGGAATGTTTTTGGTTGAATTGGTTACTTGACATTTATATGTTACGGTAGATTGATTTTTTTAAGTATTGAACAGACGGAGATAAATTATCTCGGACAGTTAAGTCATCACAATCTGGTGAAACTAGTAGGTTACTGTGTGGAGGATGAACAGAGACTTTTGGTGTATGAATTCATGCCTAGGGGCAGTTTGGAGAATCATCTATTCAGAAGTGAGTTCTTGGTTTCTTTGTAATCCATGTATACCCTTGTTTGGTAATTTCAACATTGATCTTACTTATTGATAGCAAGTACAATTGGTGGAACAGGGAGCTCTTACTTTCAACCAATAACTTGGAGTCTAAGGATGAAAGTTGCTCTTGGTGCAGCCAAGGGACTTGCTTATCTTCATAGCCCCGAAGCCAAAGTCATCTATCGCGATTTCAAATCGTCTAACGTTTTGATCGACTTCGTATGCATATTTCTTTGATACCTTTAGATTTCACTTTTCGTTAAGAACATACCAATCCAACTGAAAATTCAAACTTGTGATTGAAGGTTAAATAACAATAGTTTTATTACTCTAGGACGATTCTCTGACATTCTTGTTTATCCTTTTTTTTGTCAGAATTACAATGCAAAACTTTCAGATTTCGGATTGGCAAAGGATGGGCCGGTAGATGGGAAAACTCATGTCTCCACGCGAGTGATGGGTACATACGGCTATGCGGCGCCCGAGTACGTGTCCACGGGTCATTTGACTGCGAAGAGCGATGTGTACAGTTTCGGGGTCGTGCTTCTGGAAATGCTGACGGGGCGTCGAGTTTTGGACAGAAACAGACCTAGCTCAGAAGAGAACCTCATCG